GTAACTTAGACATTTTTGAAAAAATGACCATAAACTCCAGAATAAGGTTATATTTATTTCATTTAACATTTCATTTTTATACCTTCTTTTAGGAGCAACTTATTATTTACACAGCTAAGCTCGAAGTCACATAGATAATTTTGTTTACATTAAAACAAAGCAACATAAAAATCTAATGGTATGAATGTAGATGTGCAACATAAAATTGTAGCAAAAATCATTTTAATATTGATGCAAAATGATATGCAGAACATAAAATAAACAAATGTAAAATAAATAATATTAAAAAAATTATTTGAAAAGTAAACTAGAGAAAAGGGTCTACCATATGAAAATAATCACTCAACTTTTGTCAGTAATAACTGAAAATACTGATGCTACACTACTAGCATGGATTAATAGTCAAGGTGCCACCATTATGGAACAACAGAAAAAAAAGTGTAGTTATGATCTAGAACAAAAATTCTAACATTTACTTTAAAGTAATGCTAACATGATAGCAAAAATACCTAGTGTCAATCATGAAGTACTGTATCCTGTATAATTAAAAAAAAGTAATTCAACTGCACACTTTGTCTGCTTTATCTGCAGGCACAAAGTCTGCACTCACAACCAAACAATCAGAAAACATAACATTATGTCTGGTATGCACATGTATTTACTCACTTCAATGGTCTACCTTGATTGGTTATAAAATACTAATCACAGTGAGGACATAACACAGACTACTGGAACATTTTATTTTACCTATATTTCAGAAAGTGAGAGCCAATTTGAATTCAAATGTCACTTTTGTTTAATGAACTCAATCATAACAGCAAAATACCCAAGAAATTAATAGCATTGCTAAAACCTAACCACAGCACTACACCTTACTGAAAGATCACATGCTAGGCAACTACACTGACCAATAGTGTCCACCTGTGGATCAGCAACAGTCTTTTTTTGGTTCAATGAAAAGATAATCGACCCATTACCATCTTATGTTCCAACTCATCTAAGTAAGGAAAATGATTTTCTATGCAAGTTAGAAGAAGTGTCTCTCAAAAAAAACTTGCTCCTTTTCAGCCGAGGTATAGCTTCTTTCTACCCATCAATCAATATTTATGAGCAATAATGAATATCATAAAAAAAAAAAAAGACCTGAATCTTTTTGGTATTCCTCTGGAACATTTAGAGTGGTGCCTTTGATTTATTCTGACTAATAATTTTAAATTTGACAAAAACACACACAAAAAAAAAGGTTGCTATTGGAAGCACAGTTACAGTAGTTTTTGCTGTAGTGTTCATGCACATATAAGAAAACAATGCAAGAAGATGAAAAACATCTCTTGTGCTTAAGGTGTGTATATGATATGATATTTTTAGTATTTATCCTTTCACTTTACATAGACTGGAAACATTTCACAGTTATCTGATCAACTTACAACTATAACTTTTACTCTGAAACACTTGGCAAGAAGTGGCCAATTCAGTTTCCTAGATGTTCTTGACTATTTGCAAAGCAGATGATAAAAGTTTTGATTGTTTTTCCTACACTCAGATTCACATCACACTACTCATATGAAAAAAAACATCTATCATAGGAATTCAATAGTGTTTGTCAACCAAAAAACTGAAAAGAACTTGAGGAAATACAATGATTTTCCTTTTTCATGGTATATGGAGAAATTTACCATAATTTTCCCAAGGTCATGATTTTGTGTAATATCTATAGTTATCCTCTCAGAGCTAACCAGTGGTTTCTGGTTGTCCATAACAGCCAAAATTATCGCTGGCCAACTCAAATGCACTACTACGTCGTCCTTAGGTGCCTAACCTATATTGGTACATTCAGGATACTATATAAATTATGTATAGTATGTCTATGTGCACTGTGTTCTGATTTTTACAGAGATACAATCATCAAGACAACACACAATGTTTAAGATAAAAAGTGTTCATCATGAAGCCTTATAAGCCTGTCACAGTTTACAACCAATAACAGCCACTCAAAAGATTTTGATTACACTATATTCATTTAACTGTTTATATTTTGTGTGTTTTGGTACATTAGACTTAGATACTATTTTCGATTTAAGTTGTGGATCTGAAATGGCTAAGCAAGCTTCAATTTTCTGCTTTAACTTGGGGTCAAAGTTGAGTGATTAAGACAAAGTAGGCATAAAGTCTTCGAAAAGAGAGGTCATTTGCAAATACAATCAAAACAAACGCAAAAGAATGTTTCACGGTTCCTAGCAAAGTAGTTGTAACTGAAGTATGACAAGGAGAAATGGGTCATGTTCTGCACATAACGTTCCTCAATAAAATCACAATTTTCTAGCAGTTTATGAGCTTTCCAGTGTGTGATATGATTTAGAACAATGTAACTCCAAGTTTATAATTTTTGTTAGTCAACTAACTTGTTCATTTAAGTGTTAAGATCTATATTTTATTGTAGACAATCATAATTGGCCCAAAAGTTGTCCACCAGACAACCAAGTCTTTCATTCAAGTGTTAAGATCTATATTTTATTGTAGACAATCATAATTGGCCCAAAAGTTGTCCACCAGACAACCAAGTCTGTATGTCTTATTTTGAACACTGCCAAGATACCAATATAATAAGCTTGTTAAAACTTCTTTGTGTGAGATGACAGCAAATGTACACCCTACAAAGCTTCCATAATGAAAAAACCTGTAAAAAGCATTGTGTCAGAAGATATTTACTGCAGAGTGACAATGCATAACTAGTTTCGGTTGTCCTAAAACTGTTTACAACTAAAGGAATGAACTGACAAATGACAATGATCATAATAATGAAAACACATGAAATGCAGAATAATGAAAATAGTTATGGCAATGATGATGAAAAAATAGGCTGTAGAATGTAGAAAAAGAAGTTATGAGCTGCACTGCAGAAAAATGAAACTAATGATAATGAAAAAAACTCCAGATTATCAGAAGAGAAAAACAACAAAAAATTGAAGAGTATAGAATATAGAGATATGGGCTTCAAGCTACATTGCAGAACAATGAAACTGATGATGATGAAGAATGCTGTGGATCATCAAAAGAAAAGAGCAGGGGCCTGCATAAAAATGCATGATACAGAAGGATTTCTTGGTAAAGCTGTTTAACAGTTACAGCATGACCATTACTATATCCATAAAAAACTAAAAAAACTCCTCAGATGGAATGCAGAACAATTAGAAGTTTATAAAAAGAAATTTGTGACCCAGTGTGGTATCTCAGTATAATATGTTATAGTAATTGTCACATTAAAATTTTACATTTCAAAATATAACAAAAAAATATTTTATATTATTAATACACACAATCTACTGACACCAAGGGAAAGCATCATACAGTAAGCAGAACTGGTAAACAGTAAACTTCCAATAATTCATTAGACCATGATCAGATGGAGCAGTCTAATTATAATATACTACGATTAACCTAGACTACACCTTAGAGGATTTAGTTACCCAAAAAAAAAAGGTGTGATAGGAACTATAGTGCTGAAATTTTTAAACTTGTGTTTCAATATTAAATCATAAAGATCTGATACATGCACACTATTTTGCAAATATTTGGACATTTTTACAAAGGCTGAGTCTATTTGCTAACAGCTGGGTACCAAATTTGTGTTTGGCTATTCACCCAGTGGCTGTGTATCAACTTAACAGTTTGGTTAATCACAGAGCAAATTCAAGAATGTAGATGAGTAACAATAATATCTTACTAAATAACAATATTTAACATTGGTTGTTTTTAAGTTACCTTGACTCTACCATACATAAAAATTGGTGCACAACTCAAGTCTCACAGAAAATGAGAATTTCCTTAGACTGTAATGACTACCATGCTAAGAGAAATCTCATCTATAACAAGGGGGAATCCTCAATAGCTGCAGCACTTGAAATACTTTTAGGCAAAATTAGAATAAATTAATCTGATACCTTTTTTTCCTTTTTATTAACTATATTTCTGTGCACCAGCAATACCAAGCATGAGGGCACACCTACGACCAATTCGATTTTATTACTCACCAAGATTTATACAAATACATCAATCGAAGGAGTTTGACCTTCTTAGTCCAAAACTGTAATTAGATCTCAAATCGGTCAAAAAATGACAAAGCTATGAGTTAAACATTTGTACTTGAAAAACTCGGGGCCATTCTATGAGCCACTATGCCACAGCATAAAAAAAAAGGTGAAAAACATCTTTCCTATCTTTACAAACTAGAAAATGGGAGCAAAACTATTTAAAGGGAATATTTATTTTAAATCAACCTCATTTCACAAATTACTTAACAGATTAAGAGTCTCATACTCTTCCAAATTGGTCAGCTGAAACAGTATTCAGGTCACAGAGCATCCACACAAAACCCTCACTTGATACAATTTAAAACTCCATCAATTCAAATAGCTAAACTCTCAATAACTACTCAGACACTCAGTGAATAGCCATTTTGTTTGTTTTTTAAATACTGCATAGATTTGTCAGTAACTTAGAAAAGCAGTTGAGAATGAAAATTAGCAAACATTACAGCGAAAAACATACCTTAATTAGATTCAGTCACTGTTATTAGTATTACGCTCCTTTTCAAAGAATTATAAGCTAAATACGAGTTACCAAGTAATTATAAGGACTTGGCCTAACTACCAATACTAGCTTTGTCAGTTACCGAATTTATACAAATTACATTGGAAAGTTCTTCTTTAATCGAGTCTAGTTTCCGTGATGTCGTATATCTGACCTAAGTAGTATTACTATTAATGTTACTATTGTTCGTAACACTTAACTAAGTAGTTTTAAAAATTTGCCCTAAGCTTTCAGACTAAGGACTAGTATTACTTACCGCAGTTTCTCTCAAACGCTTTACGAAAATTAAATCTATAGTACATTTCTTTGGTATCTAACACGCTTTGCCATAGATTTAGAAGTTATAGAGTTAAACACACTTCTTTTCGCAGAGGATCAAACAATTAAGGAAAGTCTTAACTTGCCCTTACCTGGTTTGTTTTACGTAGTAAGGAACATTTTAACAAATATTTGTTTTCCCATGTACTTCTATGTATATCATTTGTGTTAAATACAGCTAGAGTAGGTGTACGGTGAGAAAAAGTCCTGGAAATCTTCATATTATGCATTATTCCACGACAAAAAAGTCTCCCTTGCAAAGCCATGTTCCTTACCCCAGTGAAAACCAACGCTCTCTGTCGGTTTATTTTGTTGTGTTTCTCTTCAATGTAATTTTTATTTATTTTTTTCGTCAGAACCATTAATTTTCGCCCGAATACATTGATTTTTGTAAAAAAAATTAGGAGCGAGAATACTTGTTACTCGATTTTAACCACTCAATTTAAGACATGAAAAAAATAGATTATTAAATAAATAAATAATATTTGTTTTAGCAGAAAGCTACACGTTGAGCTATAATGTAAACTTACAAGATAACAATCACAAAAAAAAATATTCAAGTAAGGGAAAATAATGGTCTTCGAATTTTTCAACCTCAATAGTACTGTTACGTCTCTGATCGTTTGTTAATTTCGCGTATAATTTCTTTCGGATGAAATTTTAGCGATACAAGTCCTTTCTTAAATAAAACTAGTTTATTCTTTCTCAATACAACTTTGCAATACACTTAATTTCCACAGTCACTTTAACTTCAACACACGCTATAATTCACAACGATTCACGCACTTTACTTACGGTAATTGACTCAATTGTCCGTTTCTATCTCTGCCTGTCTGTAATTATCTATATCGTCAGTTCTTGCCAGTGTTATATATACTACAAAAGCGTACATCTCGTCTCTTCGTGAATGTTCTAGATACTCATCACGTGTTACTAGCGTCACGTGACTTCCGCTGCCCCCTTCCTTAGTATT